TATGAGACTTAGGCAAGATTGAAACTGCAGTTCATCCTGGCTAAGTAAGATTCACTTGAAATGTCAGCTCTAATCATATTATTGTGGTCAACTTCCACTACTAGTCCTTTATCACTTTAAGCGAAATCATATAGCACTTCCTACACACTTTTTGAAACTCGTCATTTAACATATTTTTTCCCTATTTCATAAAGTATGATTTATTGCTTTGACGCTGTCTGTTACGACGGTACAGACGCAAGAATAGCATGGGCTCTTTGTGCTCGCAGGACGGTGGGACGAGGACTTATTCGCACAATTCAATAGTCTTCGTTAAGCGGGAATCCTCTTTTGGTTTTCGGTGAGATGACATTACGAATTGCTTCCGAGCAACTTTTCCTTTCAGATGGAAAGTCATTTCACAATTATGAACTTGCTTTCATCATACGCATTGAAAGGTTATATTTGGTCTTGGTTCATCAATCTGAAATCATAATAACTATGATCCGGAATCAAGTCAAACGATGATTCCGACCCCAAAATTGGTCGATTTGCCGCATGGATAAGATGGAGTTTGGCTCAACATGAGAAGGCCTTATTCACATCACGCAATGTGCTGAACTGCTTCCCACGTGTCCACTTTAGAAGAGAGAAAGACAGAATCTGGTCGCCGTCCCGGTGATAAACGCGACAAACGTGGACAACATTTTGGTCCATTCCCATGCCTTGGAGACAGGAATGTGCAAGAGGTTGGCCGATTGGGAGTAGCATGAATGAAGCAAGACAGCAAAAAAAACAGCGCGTTTTAACAGATTTCCACAAGAGAGTCCATATCATATGTCCTCTCATTCAACTCACCATGTCGGAAACTCATGACTACTGTCGTTATGCAATGTCATTTGGTTACTAACAGAGGCAAGCCCAAGAAACCAACCAACAATGCATATTATAGCAGTTTTTCCATCAATTGGTGGAAGAGGGCAAAAGCAACAAACAACAAACCGTAACATCTTATCCGTGCATGCTTTGGGCAAAAGGGAACTAAAAAACGAGCCCTATTTGCAATTCTTTAGAGAAGAGGGATAAAGAGCTATTTTATTTAGCTTCTTGTGATGAACGTGTAGGCATGCATTCATGCGTACACACACACACGCACGAATAATGTATGAATAAATGCAAACATATATGCAGACATACGGCATAGGCAAGGACAGAAAATGGGTTGAGAGACCTTTAAAACTGGATACTTCCCGTGTCTGTGATGATAAACACAAAAAGATATCTACATTTGCCCATAAAAAGAGCTTACCTGGCTCCACATGCTTCAATTCTGGCCGGAAGTCCAATTGTGGCTCGATGGTTAGTACAGCATCGGCGGCGGCTTCGCCCAGTTGGTTTTTGGCCAAAGCTCGAATCTGCATGACGCCCGGGTTGCCAAGGCGATGGAACTCCAAGTAGCTGATATAACCATCCTGATAGATGCGCCAGTTGCCAGAGGCGCCCGACTATCAAAAGGACGGACAAAATGGAAAAAAAGGCGAAATATAAAAAAGATAGATAAACGAGTTTGCAAATGAAACCAAAATCATATAAAAGATGAGATTACCCTGTGCATAGCTTATAAAGCTGAATACTAACTATTTTTCTCAAAATTGGTGATATTTGAAGACTCGTAAGTTGGACTAAAGTAATGAATATGCATCAAATGTGTTCCCCCTATCTCGATCAAAGTGATGCAGGACTGCAATCAACTGCAATTTCGACTTCGCCTAAGCTGGTCTCGTCAGCACCACCAGCAGGACTCGAACCATGACATTTCAGCATATAATCTCGACAAGTCAACCGCCACACATCGTATATACCAAATTTACTGGAAATCAAAATAACTTATTTACAAACGACATAAAACAGTGTAGTCGATTGCTATGGCAAATACAACCTTGCTCTTATTAACATTCCCACCAGGGACTATGATATGGGAAAATATCTCACCTGTCCTGTGACCCTAAATCACTTGTGCCAATGCAGCGTAGGGGTTAACATGGCAAGATTATACCCTGCACTATCATGGTTCGAGTCCCGCTGAGGGTACTGATGAGACCAGGTCAGGCGAGGTCGAAACTACAGTCCAGGATGGGTGAGAATAACTGTTGGGAAGCAATGTCATGTGAAATC